AATGGTACAAAAGTTTTCGAACCATTCTCTCTTAAAAGATGCGTGTTCATCCGAGTCAATAAACTGCGGATCGATTATTTTATTTTAATCGTTTAATAGACAATCAGCTGTTAATGGTATGCGCGATCTAATTGAGTACATCCTGCGGTGCCACGTGGTCTGCTCCCTTGGACGGTAAAGTCACTTCCTTTGGAACATCCTAGGTTACCGACCAAACTTCTTCTGTCGGCAAAATCATTTCCCCTAGCTAATTTATAGAGTTTGAACGAATAAAATTTCAGTTCACGAGGGTACCTAAGAAAAACAAATGTAATTACGACTACAAGTTCATCGGAATTAAAAATTTAACGTGGTTAATTAAAACGTCGTAATATAATGTAATAGAAACAGAAACAAATTACAGTCACAGTTGGAAGTCGACGAAATGTGTGTTTCAAATCGTAGCTTCTATTTATTCTTTCAGTTAGTATAGAGATTTTACAAAAGGAAACAAGTAAAGCTTAGACTAAAGCAGGCTCGAGCTATTGAGGTTTCCACGTACCTCTTGTTTATTTATTTTGATTACACACAGTCTGTTAAACAAGTTGTTGAATTAATTTTACAATTCTGACGATGGTGCAGAAATAACTGACGCACTTTGTTGCGTGACGCCGAAAATAACCGACCTATAAACGGTCGGTCATTACATGCTCTGTGACCATAATATCCGTTTGTCCATTTAATCGCGAATGATAATTTTTAACATTTACTCATTTCTTATTGATATTTATAACTAAGATACTTCCTGGAAAGTATCTTTACAATTATTTGTTGCACTTAGTTATATTTAGTGAATATTTGAAATTTCAATGTTTCGAGCATTATAGGAGAAATTTTAAAACTTTCTTTTAAACGGAATATCTATATTTTTTAGATTCAAGAATAAACCTTAGGAATTATGTTTTTTTTATTTCGTAGATATATATACCTGTTATTTGTGAGCTTGAAAATTGTCATTGTTTAAATACATGCACAACAGTTTATTGTTTTTGATTTTTCGACGATCGTTCGTGTAGGATAAAGTATGACAAATGTTAAGAGAATCATTGATCGAGTCAATTCAAAGAAATTTGATAGAAATCGATCATTTTGCAATCGATCTATTCAGGGTTCTGTAAAGAAACGAAATTGGCGGAAAGCCAATGATTCGTTCTATTTTGTTCTGTTACTCTGTGCACTATGTTCTATCTTGACTTGTGAATCTACACGATCGTTTTCTTCGCTCTCCTGTGTTTTGCCACTCCGCGGCAGTTTAACATCCATTAGGACGATTATTCGTGACATTCGAACTTATTTACAAAGTCAACATTTCGGATAGACTTTACTGTGCACGAATAAGAAAAATGTTTCGTGGCTTTCTAAATTTTTCGTTATTTAAAAGATGTGCAGTTATATCATTCTTTAATTATACGTGAACATTATAATTTAAACCGCTTCAATATTATTCTAATCATAATGAATCAATCAATTCTGTAAACACATCTTTCTATTTTTTTTTTTAAATATAAAGAATCAAAGTTCCATGATCTCTATACATTACACATGTTCCTATTAAATGTATATACAATTTTACATTTTATTCGTGAAATATCGTATAAACATAGTTGACGCACGTTTTATTTTTATAAAAATTATTACATGTATAGGAATGTTTTCATACATAAATATGGTAAACTATAAAAAAGAAATTGACACAAGCATTCAGAATAAATTGTATTGTGATAACTGCCTGTGTGTTAACGCAAACGTAGTAAAACATTTATGTGATCGTGTTCAAAAAGATAATAAATTTATGCAGAGAGATATGTAGGGATTATTAGTGTGGAATAAAGGATTATGTACCTCGGTAATAATGAATCGAGTCGGCCTAGTGGCCATGGAAGGCTGAAGAAGATTCTTGAAAAGAGAGACAGCATTCTTAACAAATGGAAAGATGGTATGACTTCTTTTATTGTATTTATTACAATTGAAGGGCAATTCGAATAAATTAATGAAAACCAAATAAAAATCAAGCACTGTTTGGATAAATCAATAGTATTGTTATCAAATAAAATTAGATCACATAGAGTGGTGAATGATTTCCCTTAGTGCATGATAAATATTTGCCAATTGAAATACAAAAAGTTTAAAGGTTCTGTCAACTGGATAATGCGAGTGGAATAATTATTAATTTAAATATTTTCTTTATTTTAGAGGTCTGCAGCAGAGGTGAACTGCCAGAAGTTGAGATCATCAGTCTGTTAGAAGAACAAATACCTAGGTATCGTCTACGTGCTGATACCCTCACTCAGTTTCAAGGTAAATGTTTGTATACAAAGTTAATATTCATGTTGAAAAGGTCAACATTAGTACCCATATAGCTCGGATAAAGTTTTGTGTAAAGCACATTTGTAAATGGAATTATATTTCAAGGATATTAAAAAGTACATAAATTTAAATAAATTAGCATGCACTTTTCTGATTCAAGCGTGGGGTATCGTTAATTTATAAACTTCGATTTTATTTCTATATCTATTTGTTCATTGCAGCCTTCTGTAACGTTTATTTATATTAAAAAATGAGTATAAATATTTAAATGATTTATTTTGTTTCTTGCATTTAGGATACGAAAACGCTGACTGGTTTATTCCATCGCCGGCGCTAAAATCAGTTGACACTGACTTGAAATTATCTCCGGATCAGATCCGAGAAACACTCAACTACTTTAGTAAGTGATTACGTATAAATTTTTATTATTATTTTTCATTCTGTCCACAAAAGATATTGTCCACGCTGCAATCAATGTCGTATGTTATAAATTATATCTTGTTATTTACAAGATTTACCAAATAACTCGTGAGATACTCCGCCAAATCGATCTTGGAAAATTCGAAGAATTTCATTTTGTAAAAATATACAACAGCCCACTTTATACCAACTTATCTTTCCCCAAATACTTTCAAAATGTCAACAATATCATTACAGATATCTGAGATAAAAAATATCAGTGGCATAATCTATAAAATGTGTCATAGAATTAAATATGATTCAATATACTTTCTTCGTTAATAACGTTTCAACGAACAACGATCAAAAAACGATTTTTCTGTCTAAAAGAAATTTGTTTAGAAATATAGAAAACGTTAATACTTAATACGGATAATATTTTTGTCTAAAAGCAGGCAAAAATTGTAATTTCGTATTTTTTAAACAGATGCAAAATTTGTAAAATGATGATTTAAACGCTCTTCTATTTTTGCAAAGTATTTTATGACCAAATACATTTTCACGGTATGTTTGGCCACCCCTGGGAAAAATTTTAATGGGAGATTATAGAAAAATAAGACGAAAATCAAGAATATTAATTTGTTGATTGAGGCTTCGTTAAAAAATTATTAAAAAAATTTCAAATCGTTCTGGAAAAAATATTTTCAGTTGCAGGGGTCAATTATAATAATTTTTGGTGAATAGACATACCCCCGAAATCCTACCCACTTTCTAGAAAAAAATTCGAGAAGGTGTGAAATTTTTCGATAAAATTAAAAAATTTCAAATCGTACTAAAAAAATTATTTTCAGTTGCGGGGGTAAATTACAATCATTTTTTATGAATACACATACCCCCGAAATCCTACGTACTTTCGAGAAAAAAATTCTTCACCGAAAATATACTGTGTGGCCTGAAATATTTTTATAACTTTTTAACAAAGCCTCAATCGATAAATTAGCATCCTTGATTTTTGTCTTATTTAGGCCTCTAGAATCTCTCATTAAAATGTTTCCCAAAGGTGGCTTAACACCCTGTATAATAATAATATTTTTTCAAATCGTGAACATTGATTCATTTTAAAAATGCTATTCAAATTATTTGTGCACATAATTAGAAACGAATTCTGAGCAGGAAACTTCAGTTTTGTATTTACGTTGTAAATATTTCGTTGTAAAATCTTACAAGAGGCAATTGTAAATTTCATTTATCTTCCTCATAAATCACAATTAGAACTTAGCCAATCTATTATCTTTAACTGACAAGGCGATATATTCGACGATAAAAGTCAATCTTTATCGTTCACTTGTTATCGTAAATTTGTGATAATGTTCTTCAAAGGCTAGCGTTATTTGTTTGATTATTTACTTGAGTACGTTCTTTTTTTTTCTCTAAGAAAGTCTTTTTAAATTTTCATGTGTACAATATATTTCGTACTTACATGCATACATATATTTGTTATATTTTTTTATTAAGTATTATGTATAGTTTCTTATATTGACAAATTTACGAATCTACTTAATACTTTGTACGTGGAAGTAATTTTTTCACATTTTTTAGGCATGGTTATGAAATGATTATCTATATAACAATTATGTTCTATGTATGTATCTATATATGTATATATGTACAAATAATTACTAATCTGAACATCTAGTTTCACAACAAAATTCATGTTTACTGCTTTCTTTTCGGATTGATAAGTAATATTTTATGCAAATTAATTGACAGAGGTTTTGTATAAAATACTTTATAGGTAATTGTTGTCAGAATATTATTTAGGGGTAAATCTACGTGGAAAAATAAATCGAAAATGTAGAGTGACATTTTTTCATACGTAGATTCATTTTCAAATTAATGGATGTGAACTGTAATTTCATTCTAGTAATTAATCGTAATCTTAATTACTGTATGGAGTAGTACATCTAGAGAAACTCAAGATGGAAGGGGGAAAAATGTTCCGTAATTAAGAAAACCACGTTGCTACAAAAGTATTAGAAACTATTCCAGGAATTAGTGTTTATTGATCATTTAAAAAAAATGTTATGCATAATTGATAACAAGTCTTATTTACTTGGGCAGTTTTCTCACTATCTAATTTACAATCGCTCGAAAGAGTCCTCGACCAATCAGAGCGCTCGACCCGGCATTGCTGTGGAACTAGTGAAACTTCCATAGAGCAATTTAGTCGCCGCTCGTCCTCCACGTTGGGAGGTCGGTCTGCGGCTGTATTGTTATAATGTAAAGGAATTCCAATTCTTCTACAAGGAAATCGACAAACATTTTTTTTCCAAGTGCTGTTTCTTACGAAGAATACTGTTTCCATCCATTTTGTGGAACATCCTCTGAAACGACAGTTAAAAGTGAAAAGGCGTTTTAGTGCACTTTTGTTTTAAATGAATATGTTCATGACGTATATTAGCAATTTTTTATTTAAAGTTTAAACTGCTTTTAATATGTTCGTTTAACTTAAAAACATGTCACTGACATTTTTCGTGAATTAATCATTGCAACGGAAATGTCAAATATTCACCAATCTTTAGGTAAAATTTAAAATTAAGAGTTAAAACATTTTTCGATAGACATTCTTTATAAATCAAGTTACAGTGAATGAAATACAATTCATTAGTGTCAAGGAATTGTACCGATCGAATCGAAAATGTAGTTAGAAATTACAAACGATCATTTTCTATTAAATTCAGTTTGAAATAAAGATTTGTATTAAAAAGATCATTTGCTAAAGTGATTAGTATAATATCTGTTTCCGGGTACAGACGAGAACGTGTAACATTTTCTAAATTCATAGTGATTGAGTATATTTGAAAGTCTAGTGACACCTAGGTTAGGTTAAGATGACTTTCGAAAAGTATCTGCTTTTGTTATTCACGAATTAACCGAATTAACTGAATTCATATTTTCTACAGCAATTAATTAAAATTACTACATGAAAATGTATTTATCTCGCAATTTAATTGCACGTAAGATTAAAATGTTTCGAAAATTATAAATTTTAAAGCCATGCGCACATAGGTTAAATCAGATTGTATTCGTAAAGATACGAATATATTATTTCGAGTATTTTATATAATGATTTTCAAATTCTACATATGCGTCGTTATTACACTTTTAATGTTGCTTTCAATAATATTCAATCATGTTAAAGTAAAAATTACCTAATTTCGATTGTTGAAAGTTAAGTAGTTGTTAGGTTAAGTAATTATTCTTTAAACAACTTATTTTACTTTGCAATTGAAGTAATTGCCATTCGATTGGTAAGAAGATTTTGTTTAGCATCTTGAAGTTTAGCATCATTGTTATATAAGTTGTATAGTATCCTTTTATCTTTGTAAACAAATTATTGATAACAGATTGGCAAACCTCAAGGCTTTCCGTTCATTGTGTGACACATAACTGCAAGAAATGCAAACAAATAATTTGCTCGAGAAATTAAATTTTAACTATGGACTATGTATTGAGTAATGTAACGATTGAAATCGGTTATCAACTTTTCAGCAAATTCTCTATTTCCATGCGTGTATATAAAAACATAGCTTGGTCCAATAATATTGTCAAGTTAATTTCAATATTTATTGCCGGAAGATCAATTAATTTCCTCATGCTGGAAAAAAGCATGTAATTCTTGGAATGCACTTTTTCTGGTATGGTTCAATCCTTTCTTATGGAAATAATGAACAATTTAAAAGATGTGTTGGAAGAAATGCGAAATATAATGATTGTTTTTGAAACTTTATTAGGACTCTTTTGCACCAATTTATTTCCTTAGCATAATTACACTATTTAATTAATCAGCATCCTTGGAAATTCTGAATTGTGTTCTCAATTTTCACTCGTTCTAACATTTAAGTTATGTTGATTTAATTTATGGTATTTATTAAAATAGTCGTATTTCTCATGAAAGTACAAATTCCTTACTTTAAATTTAATTTGATATGAATTCTCAGATAACAGTTTTAAGAAAAAATTTGCAGTATCATAAAATTGTAACAAGCATACGTTTGTGCAAATTTTGATTTAGCATAGTAACATGATATTACTTTATACCATAATACTCTAGTTCTCATGAAGTTTTTATTTTAATTCATGAGTTTTGCTCTCTTGGTCGTTTAGTATATATTTTATTGAAAGTTTTGTGTTTAACCATATATAGAAATTGTAATCGCACATTGTCAAGAAGAAAATACATGAGCAGTAATGGCAATAGCTACTTTATCTTTACTCGCGAGGTTCTTATCGATTCATTAATCACACGTATTGGCAGTATTAACCGATTGCTTTGTCGTCGGTATTATTGCGCATTCCTTATACAAGAATTGGTACGATTTTTTTTTTTAATAGTATGCATAAGTTATGGTAAAAAAAAAGAATCGTATGCATGCTTTTCTCGTTTCGATAAACAGGTTTTAAAACACACAAAATTCGTAGTATACTTTGAAAATTACCGTTGCAATTAATTCTCGGAAAATCGTCAGACTGTTTAAAAACGTTTATTGTTTAACAGCAAAGAATAAAGTAACGTAGTGAACGAAGGGAGGGCATGGAGGAAAAACATTTTTTTTATAATAATTTTCACAAAAAATAAGAGACAGAAAAATAGACAAAATAGTGATCCTTACGAAGGTTCTTTATAGTGTTCTAATGAATAAAATTGTTAAAATCTCAATTGCCTGAAGATTGAAAGATTTAGAAACATTAGGTAAGAAGTTACGTGAAAATAGACAAACGAACGGAGATCATTGTTTGAAAACTGTTGACAATATTCGAAATGGGTTTCGATATACTCGATAATTCTCGGGTCGATTTGTGTCGGGAATCGAAGGAACATTTTCAAATGTTAATACCGTAAACCTGGGAGATTCTTTATGGAAAATGAGCTAAAAGTTTGCGGTATGCGGTTTAACGACTGTCTGCATACCGAAGGGAATTTCTTCAGAAACGTGCCAATTGAAATGTATGTTGAAGACTTGCGTTAATAGATCGACGAAAATGAATGAAGATTCACTTGATAGATTGGAAGTTCCAGAGGAACATCCCCGTGAAACCGACGAAGAAAATTGTACGGAAAATCCTCGTCGAAGATTCGAAATTAGTTCCCCGCGAACTCCGACGTTTACGAGTTTAGCTTTGGACGTTTCGTACGCTGCTCTAGGCGCGTCCAGCCTTCTGGATGTTGGATCCTTGATAAAGACTCCGAAACAAGATCCGTCAGGATGTAGGAATGATCGTAGTGTCGCGGGGTGGCTGGATACAAAATTAACGTCAAACGACGAAAGTACGCCGGAAGAAAGGGTGGAGTCTTTGAAGGAAGTTTTAGCGGAAACTAATATTCACGAAGGGGACGGAATCATTTCGGATTTTTTGTTTCATGTCGCCAGAACGAAACATGGCAAGATTTATATCAAGATTATTAGAACGATGCTTCTTAATCGAGGTAGGACATAAATACTGTAGCTTATCGATTAGTTTTGACGTTTGCTCTTACGAAACCCGGTAAAAATAATTTTATTAAAGCAGCACCTTGCCGAGTTAGAAAGTCAACCGGAAGAAAGTGAATATTGGAAACAAATAGGAATTATTCTAACATTCGTTTCACATAGTTATACACGAAATCATACAACAATATAATATTCCCGTCGTGTGATCTTCGATAACAAATCCTATAAAATATCTTCGTTTTAATTGGATGAAATATTGGTTTACTTAACCAATTGTCTGACTAAAAATTTTATGATATTTACAACGATAATATAATAACTTGGATTTATTACAAATACTTTGGTAAATTATTTGATTTTATTTTTAATAAATTACTCGAACGTGCTACGTCGTAGCCAATTGTGTCGAAAGCAGAACATATAACGTAACCAAAAGATGCCAGCTGTTGCTATTTACTAGTTAATCGAGCGTAGATATTACAGCTTTAGTCAACAAAATATTCAATATCGAAAAATGATCAATTGTACCTGTTACGATCTATATTGGCGATCTACGTTGACTTACCGCAACATGGAAAACACACGTTTATTTATTCACGTTCGAAACATGAATTCAAGTTATCTAACTTAAATCCCACAAGAGAAGTCTCTAATTTTTAATTAAATTTGACAACATGATGGATCCATATCTATAATAAGCGTGAACGTAATTATAGCCGTAGATATTGTGAAAGTTCGGAAAACTCGCATAGTTAAAAAGCGCCGTGAATAATTCATACACATGTCAAATTATACAAATATATATTTGCTTCTACTTAACGTTTACTATTTAAAAAAAATATGCATTTTTTTCGAACTTTTATACATACTTTCTTAATAGATTAATTATCTACGGTTATAGTTGTAGTTGTTGTAGATATGGATCTATCACTCTGTTAAATTTCATTAAAATTAGCATAGATCACGTCTGAAAAACTCTGTTACATTTTTATAGTGGAGTTAATCGACTAGACGACTTACAAACGATTTACATATTATATTTCATTGAAAATTATTAACATTGGCACGAAATACGTAATTATATGTAAATTGCAATTTATTTGGTGTTGATATTTATAGTTTTAGTACGTTTGTTTTACGATTATCGTTTGAATTTAACTATTTCACCGTGATGCGCACGTTGCGCGCGCAGCTTGCTTCTGACAGTTATGTGGTATGGCGCCGTAACAATATCATCGTGCGTTTCGTTTCAAGCTTTGTCCATGTTTCTCGACGAAAAAAAAACGCAATTACTTTGTTACCTGGCGGACGTGAAAGATCGATCGGTGAGATAGCTAGTGTTTGTATAAACAATTATCCGTTAAACGTCGAGAACATAAACGCAATCTATGAAATGTGCCCGGTGAATCCTCTGACGTCAGAGGTGTAGAACTAAATAGTGTGTTGAATGGTAAGTACTAACTTTAAAATTAGCTCGATTTTTAAATAAATTTAATAATGCACATCGTTCAATCCGTTTCTCTGTTCATCTTCATCCGACGAAATCATTGTATAATTTTTTTTTAAGCAAGTATCATTTTTATATAAAATATACTTGGACGATGTTTCTTTGAATTCGGTGTTTTAACTTAATAACTTTTGAACGATTGTTTTGATCTATGGATTCACGTCAATTTTTTGATCGAGGTTTTCAGACAAACCGCAACTAGTTGTGCTTCTGTTTAAAGCTATTTCGCTTCGCAACAGGACGCCATTTTTAAAGGTCGTAGTATTCAACCCTTACGTTTATCTTTTATTTTTTGCTACTTTACGGTCGTCCACGTTCTTTGTGCGACACAGGCCCGACATTTTACCGGTTCTAAACAAACGACATAACTATTTAACGACGTATCTGTATTTATCGATTGAAAAACATTTACACTTTATGGTGTAACGTTTTCTAATATTACCTCATCGTTACAGAAAATATTGTTGATAATAAATATAAAAAATTAATTACAGACAGATGTTAAAAATAATTCATTTAATAAAATTACACTTGTTCGTTCCAAATTACTTGAAACATACAAATAGATTCATAAATCGAAAAGTTTGTTAAGAATTATAAAATATATTTATAATTTTGCTGTTCTATAATACGTCTTATTAATACACTTTTATTGTTTGTAATTTGGAAGTACTTTAGCTAAAGTTTTATTCGGCAAATGGTATTTTAAACGTGCAATAGTGAACTTCTGGTTGGAAAGACTGAATCTTGCCAGAGGTTAGAGCAGGTCTTATGTAAAATATGAATTATTAAGAAGCAAGAAAGAAAAGAAGATTTATTCGTAAAACCAAGAGTTACGTGTAACGAATTGTGACAAACGTTGAAAGAGATTATTTGAAGGTCAGGTTACGTAACTTCTCAGATTAATGTTTTCTCCACGTGGTTGTTTTCAGTCACGATGTTATGTTTGTTTCTTGACATTACTCGATAGTGTACATTGTCATCTTGATCTATAAAAATATAAAATATTATAATAATAATAAATATAAAAGTATCAGTAATTTTCTTAATACATTTTTTTAGTTAATTAAGTAATCATAAGAAACGAAGAACATGAATTTGACATGATTAAATATTTATTTGGAATCACGTTTTAATTAATATATTAGTAATATTCTTTTGCTGTTCATATAATATAAAAATTAAATCACAGAAAGTATCTCCAATTTCAAATTAATATTTAAAACTGCGAAGAGCGTTAACGAAGCGTAAAATTAATTACTCGAGTGAATTAGGGTCGTTGCGTAATTATCTTTGTTCCTATAAATAAAAGATTAAACCCTTCCATTACAGAAATTCTCTGTTTTCCGATATTCGACTATTTCTGGTAATGTTACGTCATATGTAAAGTCACGTTAGCTCAATAGAAGTATAAAATTGTAGATTGAATATAATTTATGAGCATACAATATATACGCAGAATCCAGACTGAGGTTTACATGAGTACCTTGTCTGTATTTAACGTTTGAACCACAAATATTAGAATATACTTCATACGACCTTCGCGAATAGGCGTCAATTTATTTTGGATGTATATATTCGCCCTTTTGAGCGAAAGACACGAGCTCGCCTTAACACTCCGATGCATGCTCTTATACAAGCTTCACTTCGTAGAAAAATCAATAATCACCCGCAACGTTTCTGCTTGATACGTAAGGTTAGACTTATTTGCAGTTTTAATTTCAATCGTTAGATTGTAAATTGAAGCCAATCCATACGTCGACTATCTCGTCTATTAGTAAAATATTAATCTCTTATTTATTTAAAATATTGCAAGTAACTTGATTCCACCAAATATAGTGGTGCATCGAATGCACAGAATGTACCATTAAAAATTTTACGGGAAAATTGTGTTCAAAGTTTTGTACAATAAATTTTGTAAAATGGCCCGTAAATACGCAGGTGTTAAATCAGGGCTTGAATGTTCATCCAAGTATATTTTATATTATATTCATTCTATTAGAAAATTCGTCTAGAATTCGATTCTAAAATTTGTGATTATAACTTGGATAAAAGTTTCAATTTTTATGAAACACGATTTATTTTAAAGCAACGCATTCTCTCCCTCCTCACTACCGCTTGCATCGCAGTCTTGCCAGGCTCTGTCATTCATTATCTATTTGTGGAATGAGAAGGAACAGTGTTTCTCTAATTAGCTCGTTTCTTGTTTTATTTTCCTACTCCGCGTCTCTACCTTTTCTTTTCCCCATTGTCTCTCAATTCCCATAAATTTTCATCATTCTTTCTTTCTATCACCCCTTTCTACTAATCTCTATACTTTTTTAAAAACCATACTAAATTTTCCACTCCCCATATTATCCACCTTTCGTCTGCACTTTTTTCTTAAATGTTATTGTCTCTGCTCGTCTCTTTCAGCTTTTGTCAAACGTTCATCGTTATCTACTATTCTGTAGATTGCCATCGTTATCGCAAGCGTTCACTATTTTTGTTTACTATTTCTAGTAAACAGCACCCACGCACTGAAAGTGTGTGTCTCAGCTAAATGAGATCTAAAAGTGTATAATCCTTTTTTAAAAATTATTTTACGAAAATATGATTTAGCAAAAATTTTGATACAATGGTGGCAATCCACTTTTAGATCATAAGTGAGAAACACTGGATCGAAGCACCGTTTATTATTACACACGAATATAAGATTGACGAATGGGATGTCTTGTTGCTTAGACGTAGTAGCATTTTTATGATTTTTTGGTTTCCTACATCAGTTCAGTAGGAACGTATCTATTTTTTGCGCACATTACGTTAAAATATTATTTTATTCTAGCAGGTATTCAAACATTAAGTAAACGTTTTGACCATGTTGCAAAATTAAAGGTACAATGTGAGCACAAACAAAGTGAGTTCAGACTTTAGCGATAAAGCACGTATACAAAGAAAACGAAATTCATCCAGCAGTGAAAATTAAAATATATGCAGCGATGGACATGTATTTATGAATAATATATTTCCAATGTCATAACATTATTTTCAAGGGACAAAATTATATCAAGTATTATTTTAACTTATAATAACTAGTATTTTGTCATTCGTCATTTGCTTTGATAACAGATGTACAATGTCTTTGCATGAACCGTAGTGTTCGTAAGTGTGTGTCCGCCACCGTGTTCGTTGTAACATAAAACTAAAAATTGTATTTATTTTCTATTTTAGCGATTATAGTTTTGTTACGAACAATGGTTTCGTTTTTATGCAGACGATGTCTATGTTATCGACTTCGAGGTGACGCGCCATCTGACGGAATTAATCGTAATCTCCTAGTAGGGTACCGCGTGGCAGTCGAGCGGGTTGCCTCGTTTTAAGGCGCCCAGGAATTCAGATTTCTCTGTCACGACCTCGGTTAATTGTATTATACGATATACCCGTTACTTTGTCGATACATGTCTATTAGCTAGTGGAACACGCTACTCTGATAACCCAGCCCTAACTATGAAAAGTTCAACATAGCATTGTTCTTAGTCACCCGTATTAGTTCGTGCGATTAATCGTATGTAGATAAGATACATGTTTACAATGAGTTGTGAACGCGAACGTGAACGTCTTAAGATCATGAGCTTTGTTCTAATCTCGCGATAAAGAAATGGTCAACACCTCCAATATAATTAACGTTGATGCTCGTATATTATTTTTTATTTAACAATTTACAGTATAATCGTTTTTGTTACAATTAACGCTTTCTATCTTTCCGTGAACACAAATCTTCTTCTCCGTATCTATCTATTATGCTATGCAATTTATCATTTTTTATATGTACTGTCTATCTCACAGTCGCGTCATGCGATCCAATGTAATGGCTCTTTTTTGTTTCGTTCGGTCTTGACGTCTAGACCCCTTGTAAATAAACCTACGAGCGTGAATAATTAGCTTGATTGGCTTACCTCTCGAGACGCTAGACGCTTACAAGTGTACGCACGTTTTACATGTCTTGCATCGATCATGCACCAGGGCCATTGGCACGAGTCATCGATTGTTACTTTTGGTCGACGTTTGCTGCTTTTTTCTACAACACACACGCGAGTTATGTTCGCGGGTGTCCACAGTTTCCGCCACTGGCCCTGTCACGCTGCTCTAACGATCGCCGCCTCTCGAAAACCACCACTTTTAACACGCTTAAAAGGAAAAGAAGGAACATATTAGTAGTAGTATGAGCCATCGCGTAGAGCTATTAAACAGTAGAAAAGAAAGCGCTGGAAATAAGTAGCGGTAATTTATAAATACAGCTAACAAATCAGCCATTGTTCCCGATCCTCCCTGGATTTCCGGTCGATCCTGGCGGAGGAGGAAAGAGCCGCTGCAAATAATACGCTCCTGGAACCGGAAGAATCTTCCGACCAGGAGCAACAGGACGTCCAGGAGGATGATCCTTACGAGTACGATGAAGACATCAGACCCTCGAACGACATTTCGCCGGAAAACGCAGTTTTTCTGGAAAGAAATTGTCCCAGCTCGTCTAGGATACATGCACCTTGTTGGGGATGCAGTGACTATAGACGGTTACACACGCCGATTTTCCTGCTGGCTACTTCTCCAACGGAGCCATCTTGCACGTGTGTCTCCTGTCAGTAATTATTCAATTATCAAAACCAATAGCGAATGGTTTAAACCTTTCTTTTCAGTTTTCGTTTCATTTTTCGCTTCTGCATTTCTTACGAAGTTTCAAAGTTATTGCACGTAACGTATAGTCGTCTAACATTCCGCTCAAAAGCCATTAGACACGTACTGGACAAACATAAAAGATAATTCGACTATTTCTATATTTCGTACATTTAAAAGAAACATATTGTACATTTTACATATACATCTGTACAGGGTGTTTGGCTATCCTTGGGAAAAATTTTAATGGGAGATTCTAGAGGCTAAAATAAGACGAAAATCAAGAATTTCAATTTGTTGATTGGGGCTTTGTTAAAAAGTTATTAAATTAAATTAAAAAATTTCAAATCGTTCTGGAAAAATTATTTTCGGTTGCAGGGGTCAATTATAATAATTTTTGGTAAATAGACATACCCCTGAAATCCTGCGCGTTTTCGAGAAAAAAATTCGAGAAGGTGTGAAATTTTTCGACAAAATTAAAAAATATCAAATCATTGTAAAAAAATTATTTTCAGTTGTGGGAGTAAATTACAATCATTTTTGGTGAATAGACATACCCCCGAAATCCTACCCACTTTCGAGAACAAAATTCGAGAAGGTGTGAAATTTTTCGACAAAATTAGAAAATTTCAAATCGTTATAAAAAAATTATTTTCGGTTGCAGGGGTCAATTATAATAATTTTTGGTGAATAGACATACCCCCGAAATCCTGCGCGTTTTCGAGAAAAAAATTCAGTACGATCGAAACTTTAAACGTTAATAACTTTTTAACGAAGCCTCCATCAACAAATTGGTATTCTTGATTTTCGTCTTATTTTGGCTTCTAAAATTTCCCATTACAATTTTTCCACATATAATATGAATGATAATTATAGAAAATCAACTGTTTTAATGCCATAAGCTGCTAAACCTGTAATAAAAAATGCAGTTTCGGTGTAAAAATGCTTTCGTCAGCCTTATACACATGTTTAATATTTTTCGTAAAATTGATAAATTAATCCACTGTTCGAGGCACAATATTGTAATGTATTTCAAACTTCAAAACTCAATCAAAACTATAATGAGACCTCTGTGTTTGTTTCCAGCACGCATTTTTGCAAATCTGTATCGTGTATTGTAGCATTCGCATTAGCAGCTACGCAGAACCAATTAAAACCATATAGCGTGGTATTTGCAATAGTTTTCCTTTTGATTTTCTCCCTTTTCCAAACATCGCTCGCGCCTGCGTACTTGTCGCCTTTGTTCCTTAAATTAAGAATTTCTATAGAAAATAACAAAAGGCAATCATTCTGTTTATAAATTAAGCAACGTGGAAACATTTTTTTTCCACTTACGTGATAGAGCATAAAAAAAAAAACTGAAACAATGTTTGTGATTACAGCTTTACAAAGTTATGTTGAATAGTTTCTTTCGAATAGTTTAAGTACTGATTTTACCTCCTCAATTATAATAGGGAACGGAAATTATTTCTGGCACACTTCGATGTTTGGGAATGTTCCCTTGTCAGAAGAAAGAAGTTTTCGATAAAAATGAAAGAAAGAATTTGTCAATTATGAAAGAAGAAATTTTGCATTCATGGAATATGTATTTGTCGTCGTCCAATGATGAAGAAACATTTTTGAAAACGTTCTGTAACGCTGGACCACACGAACGTGGAGCAATAATTCGAAGACAATGCCTAACTTTGCAATTGGATTGCGCAAAAAGATAATTTACTTCAAGCAACTACCGCATTGCTGGATAAAACTATTTCTGGGCTTTAAGAAAAGCTGTGTGAAACGTGGAAAAGCTTAAAAGACCTTAAAAAGCCTTGAAATTTAAATATTTCGAGGATTCGCTGCAAATTATTGCAAGGAAAGAAGGAAAACAATGAATCCCTACGAAGATATGGATAATCGAAGCTGATATTCAGAACTTTAAACAAAAACCAAATTAGCTGATTTTATATAAAAAAAACTTCAACGTTTTATTTGCTGAAGCAACGTAATTATCTGGAAAGACTTACCGGAAGTGTTCGATGTTAGAAGAACGGGTTAAAACTGTTGGTTTGCAAGTAGCAGTATGGTTTCAAGAAGATTTAGATTTTCTACCTCGGAAGAAGTGGCGGATCAAGAGTAATTAAATCGTCACGCAATATATATTTATTATTTATTAGATATATTTATACATTGCATTCTATACATTTTTTAAATACGCACTTGTACAACAAAATAACTAAAATAAATTTCAAATCGTGCCAAAGAAAGTTCAAAAACATAGCTTTACATATTTTCTCCCTCGCCCCCCTCATCCTTCAAGCCCTTTGGATTCCATCCCTGTTAGACTTCTAAAAATTGAACGAAGGTCACATAGAAATTGCTAGAAACAGAACTGATTGAAAATATTTATACAATATTTAAAAAAATTAAATTTGCAGTGTAAAATATGCAATTAGTTTCTCTAGCTATTTTCACCCGGCACTATAACAAATAGACACAACCGAATTTTGTTTGTGTAATTTAATGAATTATACGCGACACTCGGCACATTTATCGAAATCGTGTGCAACAAAGGTAGCGATTATACTATTTAGCGATTTAAATAAGTAATATACAGTTAGGATAATACCACAATCATTTATAAACATTCATGCTGATATATCTTTTTCTGTTTGATTTATTATTTGTATACTTTCTTGTACCACCCTCTATTTATTATCAATTCATCGGTTTTCTATTGCGAAACACGAGCTTGTCTCTTGTTATGTACAATACTTTTATTTATTTATTGTAAAACAGTACTCGTGTTATTGTTTGTTGCAAATATTGCTTATTTTGTATTTCAGTTCTTTGTAGCAACCGGGTGAGCCAAATGACCAAGACTTATAATGATATAGAAGCAGTTACAAGGCTTCTAGAGGAGGTAAATGTTGCAACCAATATTTTATATATATCTGCATGTATACAATATACTTTGTAAAATGTTAATTAAATGGTACCTTGTCATTTACAGAAAGAGAAAGATTTAGAACTGACCGCACGCATCGGTAAGGAACTACTATCGCACAATCAAAAACTCGAAGCCACAGTTACCAGTTTAGAGTGCGAGTTAAAGGAGGCTAATGAAAGGATCACTCAACTAACGCACGAACTCGCTAAAAAGACAGAATTGATTCAAATTCTCACCAACGATGCTGAAGAATCGACCTCTGAAGCCAGCACGCCCACCGGACTTCGTTCCATCAGCCTTGATATGATGCAGAAAAAGATCAGCGTCCTCGAAGATGAAAACAAACATCTAAGAGTCGAATTCGCGAAATTGATACACGATGCTGATTACTCCGAAGAACAAGAAGCAAAACTTGTCAAAGATATTGCTGCTCAACTTGGTTAGTCTACGAAAGACTTTTGTTCATACATATAAATGATTATTTTTATTGTTATAGTTTTTAAAAACTGGACTGTTAAGATAGAAAAGTAATTTTGTTATATAGCAAACGCAAACATGGAGGTGGATGGAATTGCAGACGAGCTTGATAGGCAAAAAGAAGAAAATCGGCTGCAACATGAACAAGTTATCAGTTTGACAGCAAAGCTAGCTGAAACGGAGTTGAGATTGGCTCGGTTGATGGCCGAACACGATGAAGTGGGAGCTACTTTGCTCATCACCCGGGACAATCAGAACACTCTTGCGAGTGAACTGGCTGAGTTCAAAGATCGATACGTAGAGGTATGTTCTTGGATTGCAATAAATAGCCATTTTATTTGTTGTTTCAAAATTATTATTCAGGCTGTTAAATATTATGTCAAATTGTTTTAAATGGCGATAAACAAATAGCTATATTGTAATCGTTTATGTTACAAGGTGGTGAATTTGTTAGCGGAAACTCAAGAACAGTTACGGAAACAAAGAAAAAGAGGCATGCCAACGGTCAGAGGAGGATCTCTATTTCCCTCGATGGGCATTGCTCCGCAGCCAGATTCCATTGCTTCAGAATTGGAGTCTTCTCTATATTCTGAACTCAGTTTAGATTCTGGTATCAGCGCAGACAGAATGTGCGTTATTTTGTCATTTTGAATTTAGAAAAAGAAAAAAGAAATCAACGTAACATTTCTAAAGTAGATATTTAGTTGAAAGTTTTGAACGAGCAATATTGAATCTCTAGATATATTGTCCACAAGTGCAAAAGAGCGAAAGAAAGTTTCATTGATGTTTATTAGTTATAATTGTAAATTTAAATATTGTTTTAATTTGATTTTTTAATATTGCACAGACCTACTTACAAAAAAGTTTTCGAAACTGTTCGAAGCGCTTCAAGAAGTTCGTATGGAATTGATGGTGGTAATCAGTTCCCAAGAATAGGTTCGATGACTACGTCAACGTTATCGACTGGTTCTACCGGGCCACGAATGAGCTGCAGACAATTTCGACCTATGACGTCGGTGTTTCCTAGTCTAGATTCCACCGGACATAGCGACTCGGAAGGCTCGCTTATCACAGACTCTGAAGATTATCCGTGAGTTTTTCTTTTGATATTAAAAATATAGAATTTCTTTTAGCTATTCGATCTCGAAATGAATATACAAGATGTGTTTGTACAAACTTTTAGTGGCCCGCAACAAACGGGAGTACCAGGAGCACCTGGAGCAGCAGACCTCGAAGCAGCTCTTCGCAGATTAACACCAGCGGAAGTCCTTGCAAGGCGTGCTTGTCTTAGCACCGGTACAGGATATAGTTACGATTACGATGCTGGAGCTAATTCACCTTCGAATTTCGTACCTATCGGTTGTAGAACACCGGATAGTATAATGTCCACCGGGAGTACTGGGAATTTAAGTGGTTACAGTGGAAATGCGTGGAGAATCCCTGAGAAATTACAAATAGTGAAACCTATCGAAGGATCCCAGACTCTGCATCATTGGACACAATTAGCCACGCCAACGTTAGGTAATGCTACAGTTTTAATTATAAACGTGACGAATAACTATTTTCTTTTACGTACACAATTTATATAAGTTCGATATAAGTCCTTGATTAAGTTAGCGTATTCCGCTTCAGGTGGACTTTTGGAAGAACGACCAGGAGTGAAAACACGAGGAGGTCGTGGCTTGGAAGATTTAGGCCTAGTCACTTTTACTTTAAGCGATCTTGAAGAAGACGAGGAATATACCAATCCCGGGAAACTCTTTCAAGATACAGGCTCTATATATACGTTTACAAATAGCACTGTTTTGCATCCCGATGATCACACGAATGTAACTTCAAGTATTGTGGGCAGTAGAGTTGCAACCGCACCTAGTAGTGCTTTAAATTCCGGGATGAGTACCCCCAGAACATTAAGCAGAAGAAATTCTACTTCAACGTTTTCAACGACACTTGGTCTTGCGAAGATGCTGAACGAAAGAGGTATTTTATTAATTGAATTACGATCGGGAACAGAGACATGCTTTTATGCTTTGTTTAAAGCCTAACCCAGGTCTACGTTATTAAAATAATTTACACGTCAAATAGGTATAAAAGCTGTCACGCCTTCTTGCGTGGGAACTCCAAGTGGCGAGAGAAACTTTACACCTACTGCGACACCTTGCAATAGTCCTGATGCTAGTCCTCCTGAAAGTCGATCTAGTTCACCAATCCCGGAGAGTGGACTTTCTATGGGATTACTATCCAGCGGAGCAGAATTATTAAAGAGAACCTTTGGCGGAGATACAGAAGTACGTAAAAAAAAAAATGATTTACAGAAAATCTAATTGAGTTTGAACGTTACATATTTGTAAATAGGTGAAAAGAAAGCGGCCCGCACTCTCCAGATCCGAGAAGAAGGCTCTTACCGGTATCCGTTTAGTCGAGAAACTCGAAAGGATTGGTATCGATACTATAATGGCTACAACGATAGGTTCGTCGATGTCTCCGCTGGCATTTCAAGGTTCTCTGTATAGCAGACGTCCTACCGAAAGCCCCATGGCTCAGTTAACTTTCCTGAAAAGCTCCATGTCGTCCAGTGGAAGTCGTGATAAACTCTCGCCTTCTTCCAACTCGAGCGATTCCTCGAAAGTGGTTGGAAAGAGGCAAGACGAATCCGCGCCGAGCAGGCAAAGGAGAACCGGTGCTAGAGCTACAAGACCTGACCTCGGACAGGTCACAACCGCAATACCTGTCACGGTAACAAAAGAATCACCGGCGCAGTCCGCTTTAGGAACTATTAGTTCGCTTCTGTTTGGGAGGAAAGGTGGATTACTGTGAAATTATTATTTGTTGCGCGTTAAGTAAATTATTCAGGGGACAAGGATCGATGAGATTTACAAAGAAGATAATTGGAGATTGTCGGAACGATGAGAAAACAAATTACGTACGTAACATATTAATATTTTATGTTCGAATTGATATCTTTTAATTATGCATTTTTTCTGTACTTAAAACGAATATAAATATACATAGTTATCGAGCGACGAAATTGAAACGGATAATCGAGTGGAAAACATATAATTAACTATTTGCTATAGTAATGTTGTAAACATTGTCCGAATCGAGACGATGTTGAAATATTTCGTTTGAGAAATTCATTATCATTATTTATTAAATAATAGCTCGTGCATTTTCGTATATCGAAGGTAAAATTCGATAGCAATTAGAGCGAGTGTTTTTAAATATGTTTTTAATATTTTAATTGATAGTATTGTTTTAAAGATACGGTATTGTCGTGATAGAAATGAAACTCGATATTCTTTTGGCGATGGTTTATTGGATCTTTTCAAATGTAGAGAAGCAATGAGTTTAAGCAAAAAGAAAAAGATCGAAGTAGTAAAAGAAGAACAAATTTCAGCTTCGTTTTTATAATGACAACACTGTACGTAGAAACATTATCTCTGCTTTTAATTACAGAAATTCGGTTTTATATCGAAACTGAATAACTGCCGTGTCGTTGCTTAAGATATTACTTAAAGTTATTTCTATTTAAAAAAAATATAACATTAATATCGATTCCTGGAGAATGTTTCCAGTATTATTTTCAGTAAAATATGGATTTTGAATGTTAAGTAGCATAACAACATTTTCAGTATTATGTTTATATAGAACCACGTATATACAATTATGTAAATGAACAATTTTTCATCGCTTCGACGGTCTTGCTAGTGTTTATTATTTTAATTTCGAAACGTAACTATTTTTTATCAACTAGTTCAGTTTTTAAACGATTCATGATAAGTATCCAATTCGTATTAAAAAAATTAAAAAAAAAAAAAAAACAAAACAAAACAAAAGATGACTATTTCGTAGAATTGCATAGAAGAAAAACCAGAAATAAACTTGTTAATCATTCTTTCTAGTTGCTCATCGATTACAAAAAAAAATCAATCCAGATACATACAAGTAAATAATTTGAAGTTGTTAGTTTATTTTTACACACACAGGATACATATACACACACAACAGAAAACAATGTATTATGTAAATTAATTTACATTGTATAGAGAAAAACACAATACTAGTAATAAATATTTAAAGATCACGTAGAATGCTGCACGGTGCTGCATCATGTAACTATGAAACGCTACCAATTTGTTCAGCGCGATTTTTATGAATAATTAGCGACTTGTTTTTGTTATCACGCAATATAAGTGAATTCCTCCTAAGTGAAAATGTTCAATGTAATTATTATTACACATTATTTTATATTAGAGGCAGTTGTTCAAAAAGTCCAAGGATTAATCATTTTAAAAACGAAATATTGATTAGCATCGCATTAGTGGTATCTTATTCGATACATTTAATTTATTTTATAATTTCATACGCGTCGAAATGTCGTTAAAATAATGAAGAAAGCTACTAAAAAAGAATGCAACGTTAATTGTGCACGTAAAAAGCAGATGAATTGCATCAAACGTACAGTCAACCATAATTAGTATAAATTAATTTGTAAACAAAGTAATAGAAATTGCGAGGGGAAAATATATCTCGAGTAAAAGTCGCAAAGAATTTTGTAAGTCGGAGCACAATTTTTCGAGACAAAAACGTTTAAGTTATTGTTACGTTAAACAATTTTTCTTTAATTGTATTCATGCATTTATCGTGAATTTTTTAATTACTATATTTTAGATGAATTAGTTAATTGAATCGTTGCTATTGTCAGTCTCTCGCTAGAGACTCAACAGTTAGCGCAGATGATTAATTAATCGTCGTTTATTTATCGATCATTTGACTGAAAGGAAATGTTTTCAACGATCGAATCAATTTTTTAGTCGGTAATTTATCTTTTGTAAATAACTTACTAATGAATTGATAATGGTCTAATTTCTAGATCATTTCTAGTGCAATGACTAAAAATTACTTAATCAAAGAACACTTTACCAATGACCTTGAATTTATATAATAAAAAATGTATACGCAGCTATCACGTTAACTTAAAACGGAATCAAATATCTTTAGTTTCGAACGGTATGATATTTATAGGTCAATAACTGATGAATTATTTTTGTAAATAATAACTTGAGGGTATTCCTTTTGTTCCGCTTTCTTTTTTTTTTAATCGGTTGGAATTTAAAGAAATTGATTGTAACGTCGTAGTGAATTTTGTGGTGAAATGTTATTTTATTCGTGAATGGACCTCTGTCTTGTATCATAGGAAGGATTGTTTAACAGGCGCAGCCTTGTACATAGACAGGTACTGATTAATAAATTAAATTGAGAAACTTGAAGGTATTTTCTACTTTTCCAAACCACATTTAATTCGATCAGTTTGTACTTTATCAGATATACGTTAAGTATAATTATTTCAGGACCATTGGTAACATTTCAAATACAATTTCTTCGCGATTCTAACATAAGTGAGTAAAATTTAAAAAATAATTCAATAGTCAAGAACATCAAATAGCAATAGAGAATAGCAAAGGAGGGTGAAAAACGAGATTACAAAAAGAGAGGACAATAGTGTGCGGCAAGGACAAGGAGAATGCAGATTAGAAAGAGAGGGGAATCGTGTGCAACAAAGGCTGGAGTATTAATTAGTTGTTTATACAAAATTTATACAAAATTTAATTATAAATATCCCACAATGCGATATATCCATCTTTTGCAGCTGTTGCCATCAGATATTTATCATTGCATGTATTTACCCTCATTAAGGAAAAAGCAATATCTTGTACAGTGTCTCTGTGTTGGTCTAAAACAGCTAGTGGTTTTAAACTTTTCCAAGAATATAATCTAACTCTACTGTCCCACCCTCCAACTGCTACTATCTTGGCATCTGGTCTTATAGCAATCACAGATGTACCAGAATTTTTCAACGTAACTTTGACTTTATTGCACAGTAAATGACTTTCTGATAAAGCAAATATCTAAAAATTATAAATTAAAAATTTTATTAACAAACGTGATATATTTAAAAAAATATTTTACCAATTCGTTTTCTCGGCTCTTATACTTTTTCGTTGTTGTAAAATTTAATCTGTATTAGTTGTACCTGCAATTGATCGGTGGGACTACCAACAATTCCTTTCATTAAAGCACTATCAAAATCCAAAGCCATGGGGCATGAATCTGTGGTCAAGTAGCTTAAAATACTTCTTTGCCTTACGTCCCATAGAATTACTTTGCCTCCTTCGTACCCAACAAAGACCAACCTTTCATTTTTCAATGGTTTAATCACCATTACATCTCCCAGGTTTTTTAAGTTTGAAGGATTCAATTTCAACTCTATGTTAAATGTATCGGATGACAATATTCCAATGTTGGATTCCTTAAGCGGTACAAATATTTCATTCTGGGAAAATGCTTGAAACCTACCAGACATTTTAAATTTATTATATTCAAACCAATTTATATCGAACGATTATAAATTTTTTTATAATGTCACATGTAAATAGCTATTGTTATTCCCTTTCTTTTACAGTGTTCTATTATATACGTATAGAATAGATTATTTTTATGCCTAAAAGTACCTGCAATAGTGATAAAAGTCTATATCGATAGATTTGTACAAGCTCCATTGGGATTCTGTTTTCTTATACGCTTTTATTACTCCACATTTATGTTGTACGAATAAATCCTTGTCATTTAAACTTTGTAAACTTAAACAAGAATCTTGCCCTGATTCAATCTGGCATAATTCTCGATTTGTCTTCAGCAGAGAGAACAATTTATGTAATAATTTTAGAAATTCGGTAATAATACTTAAGAGATATGTAATATGTTTTAGTTTTTAATTTAGTTTTTATAGTTTATAGACGCGTATTAGTAGTAGTTTATTTACTTTTAAATCCCAAACATGTACTTTGCCTGTTGTAGTACCCACAAAAAGGTGTTCTACATCGAAGTTCGATTGAAGACGAATACAATGAATGCATCCCATATCACCGCGAAAAAGATACACTGGGTCCGGAGAAGGTATAGCCATTGAAACAAAATTTCTGCAATTTATAACTTTAATATTCACACTACAAATCAAGCTTTTATCAATTTTCGAAGAACTGATCTTCCTGAACCAGCTTTACCTGCTGTATCATAAATTTAAATCATTTAAAGTCAAAAGTAAATGCAGTAAGAGAATAATATAAAATCCTCGACGTTCTTACCTGATCTTGTCCCTTTAAATTGGCTATGAAATATGTTAACAGCCATATACTTCTAAATCCATATTTGGATTAGTCAAAACTTAAATTTCATCACACTATTTTGTTTGTCGTAGAATAGTTCGTTTCTTTCAACGCTAGATGGCGGCATTTACCGACCTCAGGCCCTCTGGTGCTAAAACGCCCAAGTTTGTCGTGGAATAGTTCGTATCGTCCGCGCTAGATGGCTTTCTCGACAAGCTTGGGCTTTTTAGCACCAGAGGGCCCGAGGTCGGTAAATAGCGCCATCTATCGTTGAAAATAACGTACTATTCCACGACAAACTTGGACGTTTTAGCACCAGAGGGCCTGAGGTCGGTAAATAGCGCCATCTAGCGTTGAAAATAACGTACTATTCCACGACAAACTTGGGCGTTTTAGCACCAGAGGGCCTGAGGTCGGTAAATAGCGCCATCTAGCGTTGAAAATAACGTACTATTCCACGAGAAACTTGGGCGTTTTAGCACCAGAGGGCCCGAGGTCGGTAAATAGCGCCATCTATCGTTGAAAATAACGTACTATTCCACGACAAACTTGGACGTTTTAGCACCAGAGGGCCTGAGGTCGGTAAATAGCGCCATCTAGCGTTGAAAATAACGTACTATTCCACGAGAAACTTGGACGTTCTATCCTAGAGGGCCATGACATAGAATAAATGGCGGGAATTTTAAATTATATAAATTAGTTTTCGAGTAAGTTTATTAAATAGACCGATATAAACGATCTCAAGTTAATGTATATTACGTTTAACGCGATGTGAAACTATGTTGGGCCGAGTGATGCCGAACAGATACATGTAGTTGAGCACAGCCATGCGGAACGGAAACCGTTGTGCTCAGCCACATGGAACCAATGCATACAGGCGAGTTTAACCATGCTGAATGGAAACCACCAACCACTTCCCCACCCTTTTTATACTCTTCAAGAAGTTATAGATTCGACCATATTTGTCAGAAATGTTCATTCCACGAGCAGCCCTCAAATTGGAAGGTTACCAGGAAGCTGCATCTCTTCCTTGTCCACTAATAGGTATATCCACTGAACCTCCAACCCCTCGCCATTGTTGATTTTCCAGTAAAAGTTGACAACTGACAAGTGATTATCATGGACTACCCATGGAATGATACTTTCTTGCATACGTGGTCATATTTATAACTTGTTAATAAAACTTGTTAAGTAACGATGTTAATAAAGATGCTAACGAGTAGAAACAGAAAGGAAATATCGAAAATTTTTATCCTTTTGTTTCTATTATACAAAAATGAAATTTAAGAAACATAATAGACATAAACGCAGGGTGACGATGGTCTCGACGACACGTACAAACTGTTAAACGTTTAACGTGATTTGTTTTCAAGAATGGTGAAGTTTCTTAGCCCTGCGGCCCCGTGAATCGTTTATTCAAATATTGGCCTTCGCTTGATAGCATCTACACGAATGCAAAAACCGGGCACAAGAAGAGGATCATCGATTACATAGTGATTTATGCAAATACTTGTACCGCGCTCGTAGTTTCCGTAGTTCTCTTCGGTTTTGTTTCAATACAGAACGTTCCTGTCAGATGGCGACACGTATACTTGCCACATTTCACCGACATTTTTATCAATAAACATACTCCCATTTGGCGCTACTATTTTCTCGCACAAATATTGGTTTAAAAAATAACCATTAAATTTCTTTTTAACGCTTCATCGCGAGCAAAGTAGGGCCTGAACTTATTGGGGACGTTTCTATCTCTTTTGCCTTCTATTTCACATTTGATATAAAACCAATCATTATATTATAACTATAGTATAACGATTTTTATATACAGTTAGATTTTGTTTCGAAATATCTCTGTCTACGATTCAAATTTTAATTTTTCTTCGACGAATAATGAAAAACGATTGTTTATTTTTTTATCCGTTGTTTAATGCATTTCCCCGGATAAGAGTATTGCCCGCCTTTGCGCGTAGCTTCCGTTCGACACGTGGCACCGATGCGAACAATGTGAAACCAAAGAGGAGCAGTGCCATATTGGATGCGCGACGACAGCGAAATGGACCTTGCGTCGAGTCAAGATCAAGGTACCTGATGAAGCCTCGTTTGGAGTCACACAGTTCCACCGTGGGTATGATAATACGCGGTCTGTGTGCGAGCGCACACATCCACACACGTCCACACCGGCGCTCGACTCGCGTCTGCGTGACCTACTAACTTATCCAGGCACACGCGCACACGCGCACGCGGATGCACATTCAGCGCACACATCGCATAAGTGCCACATAAGTGCACGAACCAGACTCAGGACCGCGAATCTTTTTTATTTTAATCCTCTCTCAACTTTCGGTTTACGTATTTTTCGCTTTATCGCCCATTTTGGCCAATCTCCATTTTCCTATCGCGTCGCCGGATGTGTACGATCCTTTTCAATGCTATTTAAATTGATGACATATTTTCTATTTCAATCATTCAAACTTGGAACAACTGATGCTCGACGCCATCTTAATTACCTCATTTGATCGCAAGAATTTAGTGTATTTTTTATTGAGGAACCTAGAGACCTGAGATAGAGATTTACATCAATAATAAATAAATACTCATATGATGAAGATGATCGTACGTATAGGGTATTTAAACTTGGAACAATAGAGCTTTGACAAATGACGCCATCTTGGCTAGAATATTTCATCTTAAGCATCGAGTATATTTTTCATTGAAGAAACTAGGTGAGAAGAGACTCGAGGTGAGGATCGACATCCATCTACACTCTGTTCAGCAAGAAATGGCAGGGACAATAACTAAACACTCGAATGATGGAGCTGATCGAGCATATAGTGTATACACAGATGCTGTATAGTATTATAGTAGCAGTCTCTTTGACTCTTGATGTACCTTGATCCACAGAGCTACACTTGGAATGGACAACCTAAAGTGAGTATTCTCCATCCTCTGACTCCACCATTGAACGGGTGTAGGACCAGAAATTAACATCCTCCTCGAAGAAACGGGTCATCACCAAGTCACAACAGAGATACTGAAGGAATCTAATCACAAGCAAATTATTTATTAACCCTCTCGACACAGATGCTGTACAGTATTATAGTATCAGTGTCTCTGACTCTTGATGTACCTTGATCCACAGGGCTACACTTGGAATGTACATACACAGATGCTGTACAGTATTATAGTATCAGTGTCTCTGACTCTTGATGTACCTTGATCCACAGAGCTACACTTGGAATGAACAACCTAAATTTGTCAGCATTCTCTATCCTCTGACTCCACCATTGAATGAGTGTAGGACTCGAAATTAACATCCTTCTCAAAGAAACGGGTCATCACCAAGTCATAACAGGGATGCTGAACAAACCTGATCACAAGCAAATTATTTATCAACCCTCTCGACACTTGGTATCATCGAGAAAAGATCCTCCTAGTCTCAAGTAACAAAAGTCAGCCATCGCAGCACCAATGTATGGATTCCCAGTCGCGAGAAAGCTTTCGTACTTTCAAACGAATCCGACAACGAAAAAGAAAATTCATTTTTTCATGGTCCCCTAATGGGAATCCCCCTCGAATCGCCAGCATCACGCTTCTTCCTACTTCGCTTTCTATCGACCCTCGGATACAATATCTGCATTCAGGACAATTCACAGCGTTTCTCGGCTTTCCTCCCGGCTGGCTGCTAATTAGTACGAATTCCGCGAGTCCGCCCGATGCATAATCCATAGAGAAGTATCAGGGATTATCTTTCTATTTAGGGCGATTTTCATGAAATCTTTCGCGCCCGTTGCATTTGTCTCACGCGGACCTGGAACGCGCCAGTCTTCTCCGTTTCGTCTTACACGCTGCATTAGTGTACGGTGATGTAAAGGTAAGCGTGCAGCTAGCGATGGATCTAATACCGTAACGTTCACTCTTAGTACCAGGTAACAAAGCAGGGGAAAAGGTGGAAACTCAAAATTCAAGAGGTGCATTCGTTGGGGGTGGAAATATGGTAGTTTAGTGATCTAAGACATAGTGTCAATAATTCCTTAGCTTGAAGATTCAACTATTTCGAAGGCAGGTTTTCTAAAGTTTATTAGAAATTCTTAGAAATTGAAGGGGTTGGTAGTATGGACCGAAATGGGAATTTTTCTTACAGATTTTGTATAATATTTTATCGACGATAGAAAGACTGAAACTGAGATAGTCTCCCATTTGCAATCACATTATGCATTTCAATAACAGTTAACGTTCAACTTTCTTTCACGAACTCGACTCAAAACAAAGAAGTTAAATTCAATGATTAAAAAGTTAAAAAGAAATGAGAATTTTTCTTACAGATTTTGCATTTTATCAACAACGATGGAGAGACTGAAACTGAGAGAGTCTCCCATCTGCAATCACATTATCTATTTCAATAACAATTAACGTGCAACTTTCTTTCACAGACTCGACTCAAAACAAAGAGGTTAAATTCATTAAAAATTTAAAAAGTTTATCAAACAACTTTTACATATAAAAGTTTACTCGTTTCATTCGATCTCTGGTTACAACACGTTGTGCAAATATTAAGAACAGAGTCTGATACCTAGACCGCGGATGTATATGCATTTATGGGAAATTTTAATTTTCAAAATCTACAGAATTCAGTTAATATGAAAGAATATAAGAAATACTTAAAATAAGGTACGAATTATTATATCTAGGGATTAAGACAACCCTCTACAAAGCTCCAATTTCATTAATTTTATCAACAAAAATATGAATTTGCATGAAGATCCGCAGTCTACTAATAACAAATGACAATATAGCAAGTTTCTGCATATCCATTTCGAGTGGAATAATTTGGTATCGAATTGCTCGGATATCAGCGACGCGTATCGTATCAGTCCCATCGCTAGGTACAGGTACATGCAGGTAGCGTATCCGCGGAGGAAGAGGTTGGGCCTCCCGATGCTCGATTCGAGGGGGGACGGGGCGGAGAGGGCACGTGGGGTCCCATAGAGCGGCGAGTAGCTCGTAGGGGCCCGCACCCATACGTTCGCGAGCCGTGAGTAGTGTTAACGGCCTTGCTTTATGTGGGTCATGAAACAAGGTCCC